CAAATGCTAACAAAAATTTATATAATGCAAATAATTCCTTTCTATTTATTTCCCATTTTGTTTGTGCCTCAGTATATGATCCTGAGCAATACCTGCAATGGTGTTCTATCTTTTCTTTGTCATATTTATATTTTAATACTCCTCCAAAACCGTGGTCACTTGAATCTGTTTCAATTATACATGTGAACGTTCTATTTTCATCAGGAAAATATAATTTTGGTAATTTTTTGCATAATTTTTTAATATTTTTTATGTGTTCTTTATCTTTATTATCAAAATGATATTCTATATCTTTTTTGAGTTTTTTGTATAATGGTTTTAAATGTTCTGCTAATTTTTGTATATATTCTCTTACTTGATTTACTAATCCTAAAAATGATTGTAATTTCTTTTTTGTATCTATATTTTCATCAATAGTGATAATTTTTTGTACTATGTGAGTTTGCATTTTTATTCCATTTTTAGCTATTTGTATTCCTAGAAATTCTATCTGTGGTTTCATAATTTCGGCTTTACTTTTACTTAAACGTATACCTGAGTGTTTAATTATGTATATAAATTTTTCTAATAATTATATAAGTTCATCTTGTGTTTTGGAGTATAATAATATATCATTTATATATATGATACAATTTTCTAATTCGTTAAAATAGTTATCCATAAAATGTTGGTATCTACCTGGTGCATTTTTATATCCAAATGGTAATACATTCCATTCATAGAATCCTTGTGGTACTGTGAATGCTGTTAATTGTTTAGATTCTTCTTCTAGTTTTAGGTGGTAAAATCCTGATTTACAGTCAAATTTACTAAAATAATTATATCCTTGTATTTGTCTTATTTTAAGTATTTTATTAGGTATTGGGTAGTTATATGTTTTAGTTTTAGCATTTAAATTTCTGTAATCTATAACCATTCTACTTTTACCTCTTTTTTTTTCACTGTGTTTTATTACTATAAATGCTGGGCTTGTATGTTTACTATTACTTTCTTGTATGTAATTTTTTTCTAGTAATTCATTTATATGTATTTTAAATTCTTGTAAATCATCAAAGTTATATTTTAATGGTTTTTGTGTTATTATGCTATTTTCATCTATTAGTTCAATTCTTACTTTTGGTTTTATGTTTTTCTTATCCTTGTAATGGGTCTTCATTATATAGTTGTTCTAGCTGTTCATTGATTATTTTAACTTTGTCTATTGTAAATATAATAATTTCTAATTGTGATATTTGTTTTTCACTTATATTTTCCATTTCCTGGTTTATTTTTTCACTACCTCTAATCCATTCTATAGATTTTCGTTGTTTATTTTTTACTCTTTTTGCTCCTATTTTATAGCCACATGACGTAGTAAGCCACCAGTTTGTTTTTGTTATTATGTGAGGGTAAAATTTATCTAAAAATGGCATTCCTAATAACATATCTTTTGTGGTAAATTCAAAATTATACATTTCTTCTATTGTTAGTATCTTATCCCATATTTGTATTTTTATATTTTTTGCTTTATATTTAATCAGACTTCCTTCATTGTTAAATCCTGTTACTACCATAGGTGTTTTTAATTATTCCCATTTATCTTCTTGTAAGCAATTATATTTACATATATTCGTTTCTGCTCCTGTATCTATCATTGGTGTATTATATCTGTTGTGATATCCTTCTACAATAATTTTTGCAAGTATAAATATTTTCATTAATCATTTTTTGTTCTTTTTATAATTATTTTCTTATTTTGGCAAGTTATTGTTAATTGTTCATTTTCTATGCTGTATGGTTTAACTTTTTCTAACAATTTTATTCTTAAAGTGATATTATGATTTCCTTCATATATCTTAAATTGTATTTTCAATGGAATTCCTCCTATAATTATTTCTTTTTCTGTTGTCTCTTCATTTGTATTTATTATTTCACTAGGTAATCCAGGCCATATGTGTCCTGTTTTCATAATTTCTTCTTCTAATACTAGTTCTCTTGTTATATGATTCTCTTCTTGTCCTGTGTTTATCAAGATTTTATATTTTCTTTGGTCCATTATTCCTGTTATAAAATAATGATATATTGTTATTTCTCCTAAATCTTGTGATATTTCATATTTTCTTTTAGATGAACTCATTCTTGATGAGGAAGCTCTAGTCATCATATTTAATGAGTTTGTATTTGGTGTACTTGAGGTACTTAATCTTTCTTTTACTATCTCCAATTCTTCTTCTGTATCCATTTCTTTATAACTATAGTCATTATTATCTATTACCATAATTATTCTTTCAAAAGGATTTTCTATTTTTATTTTATCAATTTTATTTTTTGCTGTTATTTTATGTTTTGTTGTTAATATATAAAGATTTTTACATCTTGCTATGAATACCTTACTTCCTGGTGCTAACTCTATTCCTGAAATTTTCCAATATAATACTAATGATTTATCTATATTTGTATCTGTTAATGCTACTGTATAATTAACACTTATTATAAATTTAAATTTCTGGTATATTAAATTTCCTTTAACTGCACTTATTACGCTTTTTTCTATAGGATATTTTATTCTATCATCTGCTAAATATATTTCAATGGGCGTATCTATTCCTTCTCTGAAACAAGCTTTTATTAGTCCTAAATGTACATATTTTATAGCTTCTTTATTTTTTATGTTTTGTATTTCTTTATTTATTATTCGTTTGTTTATTATAGGTATATATGCTTTTTCGCTTGTATATTTTCCGTCTATGATGTGTTCTTTTTGACTAACTACATAGTATTCTTCTTTTTGTCTTTTAAACAAGTTTTTTAGTATAGGTATGTCAAGTATTTTTTCAACACTTAAATCTAATTCTTTTCCTTTTATTTGTTCAAAAAGTGTATTATCAAATATAATTTTTTGGTGTGATGATTCTTCATCGTCATAATTCTCTTTAGATATTATTTCGTTTTCAGACATTATATTTCTTCCTCTTCTTCTATTTCATTATCTAGTTTTTCTTCTCCATTTTCAGTTTCTACATCTGATACTTCATATATACTATCATTTTCACTTAATTCATAGTCTATGTATTCTATTTGCATATATTCGTCATCATCTATAACTATTTCTGCAATCTGTTTTCTTTTTGGATTTTTAGATAATTTACAGTCTTTAGCTATGTGTCCTTTCTTTCCGCAATTATAACATGTACATTGGGATGTCTTTCTTTTTGGTCTATATGGTCTTTTTATTTTATAGTTTTTTACATAATACCTTCGTCTTGGTTGTTTATATTTATACTTAGTTTTATTTTTTCTATAATTTTTTATATCTTCTAGATTTTTGTTTCTTATTTGTACACCCAAACTGTGGTGCCATTTTATTTTTACAACATGATAAATTTTTATTTAGTACTTTTTCCATTTTTAATTTTTCTTTTTGGTTTTCGCATAATTGTGTAAACCATTGAGATAGAAATTTTATTCTAGCTCCTAAAGTATCTACCATTCCTTCATTCTTCCAATCCTTTATTATTTTTGTGCTAAACGGTTCTGGTAATTTTGTAAAATATTATTTTTTTATTTCTTTTGCTTCGTCTAAATTGTATTTAGATTTGTAATAGTATTCTTTGAATGCACAAGTATATTCTTCTATATAACACATTTTACATATAGCTAATTTTGTCATAAGTTGTCTATTTATTATTTTTTCCCTATTTTGTTCTCTTATATCCGTGGTCATACCTCCAAATTCATTTCTTATTGCTGATTCATATTTGTCTAGTATATCTATATTTGTTGCTGATGGGGATCCATCAATTTTCTTATCATTTCTAAGTACTTCTAAACTTTTTGGGGGTATATTTTCTATCCATAATTTTGTCGTTCCTATGAATGTTCTTTCTATATATCTTGGTGTTTTTGTTGTTTCTATTTTATTATCTATTAACTGTTTGGATATATTTCCTGTCCATAGTAATATTTCTTTATTTATGTCTGTGACACAATCTAAATCTAAGAAATTATATTGTTCACTTATTGGTTTTGGTATCCAATTTTTATTTAATCTACTGTTCCATATTGCATTAGTTCTATCTGATTGTTGATAACTTTCTGTATAATAAGTTGGTGGTGTCCACCTAGGAGTACTTCTAGGGCTATTTCTGGGACTATTATCTTGGGTTTTGACTCTTGACGTACTAGGTCTATTCATATCTCCTGTGCTTATTTCTAATTTTTTTAGTTTATTTGTCCGTTCTAAGATTTCTGTATATGTTTCACTTATGTCACTTATTTTTGATTTTTGGTCATTTTCATTTTCATCTATTTCATTTACTTCATTTACTTCAATATCTTCATTTAATTTTTGTTCCATTTCTTTTATTTCATAGTTAATTCAAGCTCTTTATCTTTTTCCTTTTTTTTTGCTTATTTTCATATAATAATTTTAACCTAGCTAATTCTTTTTCTAATTCACTTATTCTTGTATTTTTTATTTCTTCTAAATGTTATACTTCTTGTTTTGCTTGTATTTTTATTTTTTCAATTTCTCTTGATTTGTCTATTTCTTCGTTTTCTTTTGTTATTCTTATCGTAGCTGTTAAACTATCTTCTAATTTTGCCGTTTCTTTTTCTAACATTAAGTATAAATTATTTCCTATTTTTTTATATTTTCTTCCTAGATTTGAAAATATTATTTTTATTATCATTCCGTCTTGATTTTCGTATGTTTTTTCGTCTACTGCAAATTCTTCTTTATTCATTATAATCTATGTATTATATTATGTTGTAAATCATATTCAAGACAATCTAATTCTAATTTTAACATGGATATATCTTTTCTTTGTGCTAGTAGTGATTTATTACAAACTCCTGCTAATATGTTTTCTTCTAATCTTCTTTTTCTATGTTGTAATTCTTGTTCTTTTTCAGCCATTTTTTCCATTATTTCTTCTATTAATTGTTGTTTATAGATTTCTCTGTTCATACTATTTTTTCAAATAGCAGACATATTTATATTATGTTTTTCTTACCTTTTGATCTATCTTAGTTCTTTTGATTTTAGTATTTTTATTTTTATTCATCATAACCTTTAACGACCCGTTTAGTCGTTTTGAGCAACAGACTTCAATTCTGGAAAAACTGGCAGAAGCGACGGACCCCACGACGGAACGTTATGGGCACGACGGACCGTCGCAGTGTCTCGTTTCAAAACACTTAGAAAATCTGAAATTGGGTACTGAAAATCGACTCTCTGAACTTTGTGACGGAATGGCAGGACGGACCGTCACAGACCCTTGGAGGAAATATTGGGTCTCTGAACCTTGCGACGACCTGCAGGACGGACCGTCGCAGGCACGACGGCCTGTCACAGGTTGCGCAAATCCCAGGCAGAATCGGATTTCCTTACACGTTTTAAGAAACGTTTTGGGACTATTCTTTCCTTAATTATAGATTTCGTGGGTTTATATTAATAACTCAAATTCTTGGGGATTAAAAGAGGTAACCCTAAGTTCATTAGTGGGGTATTATTGCCATCTTTTATTCTTAATTATATACTAATTAGGGTAAAAGAAAGAGGGTTTGAATAAGAAAAAATAGAAAGAACGAAGAGAGACAGAAAAAGAAAGAGAACGAGTAGAGAGAGAGAGAAACGAAGAGGATAGCAAGGATTTTGAGAAGATAGCTTGTTGATCGCAATTCTTCGGTGGAGGTAGGTTATGGTTTTCATGCTTTCATAGTAAACTCTAAATAGAGAATGATATGTATTGGTAGTATTGTAAACCCTGCTATGTGCTTAATTGTATGCATGCATGAACGTGATTATATAATTGTGATTATATTAAGCATGATGAAGTTATTGAATCCCAAATCTTGATAAAAACCTAATCTCTTTTAATGATGATGCCTTGGTAAGGGAGAAGGCTTGATGAATTGATGGAAGGAGATTAGGGGATCGGGTGTCACGAACCGACACGTAGAATTAGGGGATCGGGTGTCACGAACCGACACGTAGAATTAGGGGATCGGGTGTTACGAACCGACACGTAGATTCAGGGGAACGGGTGTCATGAACCGAAACGTAGAATTAGGGGATCGGGTGTCACGAACTGACACATTGATTTAGGGGATCGGGTGTCACGAACCGACACGTAGATTTAGGGGATCGGAGTGTCACGTACCGACACAAGAGGATTAATGAATATGAGGGAGCGGAGTGTCACGTACCGACACAAGAGAAATAAAGATAATGAATCTTGGAAGATGTAAATATACTCAATCTAATGAACATGATTCCCAAATGAGTATGGTATTAAGGCTTGAGTCCTCATGTGTGAACTTGACGGTAATTGTTAACGATATAGTGCTTGTTGTTGCTACATGTTGAGTATCATAGTTGATTTTATGATATTACTTGATATATATTGATTTCTATTTTGAGTTGGCCGATGATATCTACTTAGTACCCGTGCTTTGTACTGACCCCTACTTTTATTGTTTTCTTCTTGTTTAATTGTGGTGTGCAGCAAACGTGCCGTCATCTTCGACTCAACAGTAACTCTAGCCAGTCTTCATCACATCGGATCTTCAGGGTGAGCTAATGCTTCTAGTTTGGACTGGATCTTCTTCTTCATGTCTTTATGTCTTGAATCTCCGGCATGGACTAGCTTCTTATGTATTTTTAGCTTTTAGAAACTCTTAGAATTAGTAGTTTAAAGTAGATGTTCTTGTGATGATGACTTCCAGGTTTTGGGAATAATAGATGTTGAGTATTGATAGTTATTGAATTGTTTTTTATTAGAGAGTTTAAGTCTTCCACATTACTTTTTGTTGCTATTACATTGAAATGTTAAGGTTTAGATTGGTTGGTTCGATCACATAGGAGGGTAAGTGTGGGTGCCAGTCGTAACCCGGTTTGGGTCGTGACAAACTTGGTATCACAACATTAGGTTCGTTGGTCTCATCACACAAGAACAGGTCTAGTAGAGTCTTAAGGAACGGTAGGGGGACACCTTTACTTTTCCTTGAGAGGCTATAAGACTTTAGGAAAAATTTCACTCTTTCATTCTTTCTTTCGTGCTACTACTTCAGTCCAATTGGTATCTAGGCGATACTAATTGGTATCTGACCATCTTCACTCTCTTTCGCAGATGGTTAGAACTAGAGCAACGACTTCGTCAACACCAACACCGGCCAGACAAGAAACAACTGAGCCAGCCACTGGGGCTGTGGCTCGAGGAAGAACAGTGGCAAGGGGCCGTGGTAGAGGTCGTTGGAGGACATCCTCTAGACGAAGAGGACGAGCACCAAGCCCATCTGGTACTAGGGCGGTGACTCCTCCACCGACTGAGGAAGTGATAAGAGAGGGGGAGGATGGGGTGAATGAACAAGTGCAAAATGAGGAAATGCCACCCCAACCTACCCCAAAGATGATCAATCAGATTCTGGCTTATCTTAGCGGGTTATCTGATCAGGGCCAGACACCCCCAGTGTTTTCTGCACCAGCACCTCAGGCTCCGGAGGTACAACATGCGGCTACTATGGCTCCCCGCATGGATGTTCCATTGGAAATTGGCACGTTTCCACATCTGACTACTGGGCCTATGATGACAAGTGATCAGCATGAACTTTTCAGTAAGTTCTTGAAATTGAAACCTTCAGTCTTCAAGGGTGCTGAATCGGAGGATGCTTATGATTTTCTGGTTGACTATCACGAGCTACTACACAAGATGGGTATAGTAGAACGGTTTGGTGTGGAGTTTGTGACTTATCAGTTTCAAGGGAACGCCAAAATGTGGTGGCGGTCACATATTGAGTGTCAACCAATAGAGGCACCACCTATGACTTGGGCCTCGTTCTCTAGCTTGTTTATGGAGAAGTATATCCCCCGGACTTTGAGGGATAGGAAAAGGGATGAGTTCCTGAGCCTAGAGCAAGGTAGGATGTCGGTTAATGCTTATGACGCTAAGTTCCGTGCACTATCCAGATATGCCACTCAACTCTGTTTCAGTCCTCAAGAGCGGATTCGCCGGTTTGTGAAGGGGTTGAGGTCAAAATTGCGGATTTCGGCCTTACAGATAGCGGCAACGGCCAAATCCTTCCAAGAAGTGGTAGACTTTGTGATAGAAGTGGAAGGAGTGAAGCCAGACGACTTCACCACAACATCGACATCAAAAAGGCTTCGAAAGGGAGGTGATTTTAATGGTTCTTACACTAGAGGACAGGGTTGGGGAAGTTACTCAGTCCGACCAATTCAGTCTTCACTACAGACTGTAGTTGGGGGACCACCTCAGACCGGTCAACACTTCTCCGAGGGGCATATGATTGACTCCAGAGAATGTTATGGATGTGGGGATATTGGACATATTAGGAGAAATTGTCCCAGACCAAGTAATAGACCCCCAATAGCTAGAGGTAGAGGTGGTCATGGCAGAGGCCGTTATTCTGGAGGACGTGGTGGTCGAGGAAATGGTGGTCACCAAAACGGCCGAGGTAATGGGCAAACTTGGGCCACCACATCACAACATGGTAGGGGCAACAGACAGATGAACGATAGGGCCCATTGTTACGCTTTCCCTGGGCGGTCTGAAGCGGAGGCATCTGATGCTGTCATCACAGGTAATCTTCTGGTTTGTGATTGCATGGCTTCTGTGTTGTTTGATCCTGGATCCACGTTTTCTTATGTATCTTCCTCATTTGCTAATGGTCTAAATTTACATTGTGAATTACTTGATATGCCTATTCGTGTTTCTACTCCAGTGGGTGAGTGTGTGGTAGTTGAAAAGGTATATAGGTCTTGTTTGGTGAACTTTGTGGGGAGCAACACTTATGTAGATTTGGTTATCTTAAAAATGGATGATTTTTATGTAATTCTGGGTATGACTTGGCTTTCTCCGCAATTTGCGATCTTGGATTGTAATGCTAAAATGGTGACGTTAGCCAAACCTGGGACAGATCCGTTAGTTTGGGAGGGTGACTACACTTCCAATCCGGTGCGTATGATATCCTTTCTTTGTGCTAAAAAAATTGTTAGTAAAGGGTGTTTAGCTTTCTTGGCACATCTCAAGGATGACACTACCCAAGTACTTTCGATTGAGTCGGTTTTAGTAGTTTGTGAGTTTCTGGATATGTTCCCTGCAGATCTTCCTGGTATGCCACCGGATAGGGATATTGACTTCTGTATTGATCTTGAACACGATACTCGCCCCATTTCTATACCCCCTTATAGAATGGCTCCCGCGGAGTTAAGAGAGTTAAAGGCACAACTTCAAGAGTTATTGAACAAAGGCTTCATTAGACCAAGTGCATCCCCTTGGGGTGCTCCGATTTTGTTTGTAAAGAAGAAGGATGGGAGTTTTCAAATGTGTATGGACTACAGACAACTAAACAAGGTAACCATAAAGAACAAGTATCCTCTTCCCTGCATTGATGACTTGTTCGATCAGTTACAAGGTGCTTGTGTCTTCTCTAAGATTGACTTGAGATCCGGTTATCATCAATTGAAAATACGGGCAACGGATGTGCCAAAGACTTCTTTTCGAACGAGGTATGGGCATTACAATTTTGTAGTGATGTCCTTTGGTCATACGAATGCCCTTGCTGCGTTCATGAGCTTGATGAACAGGGTTTTTAAGCCATATTTGGACCCCTTCATGATCGTATTTATTGATGATATATTGGTATACTCAAAGAGCAAGAAGGAACATGAAGATCATTTGAGAATGGTATTGGAAATGTTGAGGGAGAAAAAGCTTTATGCCAAGTTCTCTAAGTGTGAGTTTTGGCTAGATGCAGTGTCCTTCTTGGGGCACGTAGTTTCTAAGGATGGAGTGATGGTGGATCCTTCTAAGATTGAGACAGTGAAGAATTGGGTACGACCTACTAATGTGTCAGAAATAAGGAGGTTTGTTGGGTTAGCTAGCTACTACCGCCGATTTGTCAAGGGATTCTCTTCTATTGCTTCCCAATTGACGAACTTGACTAAGCAGAATGTTCCATTTGTATGGTCGGATGAGTGTGAGGAGAGCTTTCAGAAGCTCAAGACTTTGTTGACTACCGCACGTATCCTTACCTTGCAAGTAGAGGGTAAGAACTTCATTGTTTATTGTGATGCATCCTACTTTGGTTTGGGTGCAGTACTAATGCAAGAGAAGAGTGTGATTGCTTATGCTTCAAGGCAACTAAAGGTGCATGAACTTAACTATCCGACCCACGATTTGGAATTGGCTGCGGTGGTGTTTTCATTAAAGTAATGGAGACACTATTTTTATGGGGTTAAGTGTGAGATCTATACGGATCATCATAGCCTACAGTATGTCTTTACTCAGAAAGATTTGAACTTAAGACAGAGGAGATGGATGGAGTTTCTAAAGGACTACGATATCACTATCTTGTATCATCCGGGAAAGGCGAATGTTGTAGCGGATGCTTTAAGTAGAGGGGCAGGAAGCATGGGAAGCCTAGCTCACTTGCAAGCTTCTAGACGCCCACTGGCTAGAGAGGTTCAAACTCTAGCTAATGACTTGATGAGATTAGAAGTAAATGAGAGGGGAGGATTGTTGGCTTCTGTGGAGGCAAGATCTTTTCTTGACAAAATTAAGGGAAAACAGTTTGATGATGAGAAACTAAGAAGAATTCAAGATAAAGTATTGCGAGGGGAGGCTAAGGAAGCACAAATCGATGAGGAAGGTGTTTTGAGAATCAAGGGAAGGGTTTGTGTACCCCGCGTCGATGATTTGATCAACACTATTCTGACAGAGGCTCATAGTTCAATGTATTCTATACATCCGGGTGCAACCAAGATGTATCGTGACCTAAAACAACACTTTTGGTGGAGTAAAATGAAGCGTGACATTGTGGATTTTATTGCCAAATGTCCAAACTGCCAACAAGTAAAGTATGAAAACCAAAGGCCCGGAGGAACACTTCAGAGAATGCCCATTCCGGAATGGAAGTGGGAAAGAATTGCAATGGATTTTGTGGTTGGTCTTCCAAAGACAATGGGTAAGTATGACTCCATTTGGGTGATTGTTGATAGGTTAACTAAATCTGCTCATTTCATTCCGGTCAAGGTGACTTACAATGCAGAAAAGTTAGCCAAACTTTACATCTCGGAAGTGGTGCGATTGCATGGGGTTCCACTATCCATCATATCAGATAGAGGTACGCAGTTTACTTCTATGTTTTGGAAAACATTGCATGCGGAATTGGGTACTAGGTTGGACCTTAGTACTGCGTTCCATCCTCAGACCGATGGTCAGTCTGAGCGAACGATTCAAGTGTTGGAAGATATGCTTCGTGCGTGCGTGATAGAATTTGGTGGCCATTGGGATAGCTTCGTACCCTTAGCGGAGTTTTCATACAATAATAGCTATCACTCAAGCATTGACATGGCTCCATTCGAAGCATTGTATGGTAGGAGATGTAGGTCTCCCATTGGTTGGTTTGACGCATTTGAGGTTAGGCCTTGGGGTACTGACCTTTTGAGGGATTCGATGGAAAAAGTGAAGTCTATTCAAGAAAAGATTCTAGCGGCGCAAAGTAGACAAAAAGAATATGCAGATCGAAATGTTAGAGACTTAGAGTTCATGGAGGGTGAACAAGTCTTGTTGAAAATTTCACCAATGAAAGGGGTGATGCGGTTTGGTAAAAGGGGTAAACTAAGTCCAAGGTACATTGGACCATTTGAAGTACTTAAGCGAGTAGGAGAGGTGGCATATGAGTTAGCCTTGCCTCCAGGGCTGTCCAGAGTGCATCCGGTATTCCATGTGTCTATGTTGAAAAGATATCATGGGGATGGAAATTACATTATCCGTTGGGATTCCATTTTGCTTGATGAGAACTTGTCTTATGAGAAGGAGCCTGTTGCTATTTTAGATAGAGAAGTTCGCAAGTTGAGGTCAAGAGAGATTGCATCCATCAAGGTGCAATGGAAGAATCGACCCATTGAAGAAGCCACTTGGGAGAAGGAGGCGGACATGCGAGAAAAATACCCACATCTATTCACAGATTCAGGTACTCCTTTTCACCCTTGTTTTCCTTCTTTTGATCGTTCGGGGATGAACGATGGGTAAATTGGTATCTAATGTAATGACCCGTTTAGTTGTTTTGAGCAACAGACTTCAATTCTGGAAAAAGTGGCAGAAGCGACGGACCCCACGACGGAACGTCATGGGCACGACGGACCGTCGCAGGGTCTCGTTTCAAAACACTTAGAAAATCTGAAATTGGGTACTGAAAATCGACTCTCTGAACTTTGTGACGGAATGGCAGGACGGACCGTCACAGGTGTGACAGACCGTCCCAGACCCTTGGAGGAAATATTGGGTCTCTGAACCTTGCGACAACCTGCAGGACGGACCGTCGCAGGCACGACGGCCCGTCACAGGCACGACCGCCCGTCACAGGTTGCGCAAATCCCAGGCAGAATTGGATTTCCTTACACGTTTTAAGGGACGTTTTGGGACTATTCTTTCCTTAATTATAGATTTCGTGGGTTTACATTAATAACTCAAATTCTTGGGGGTTAAAAGAGGTAACCCTAAGTTAATTAGTGGGGTATTATTGTCATCTTTTATTCTTAATTATATACTAATTAGGGTTAAAACAAAAAGGGTTTGAATAAGAAAAAATAGAAAGAACGAAGAGAGACAGAAAAAGAAAGAGAACGAGTAGAGAGAGAGAGAAACGAAAGGGATAGCAAGGATTTTGAGAAGATAGCTTGTTGATCGCAATTCTTCGGTGGAGGTAGGTTATGGTTTTCATGCTTTCATAGTAAACTCTTAATAGAGAATAATATGTATTGGTAGTATTGTAAACCCTGCTATGTGCTTAATTGTATGCATGCATGCACGTGATTATATAATTGTTATTATATTAAGCATGATGAAGTTATTGAATCCCAAATCTTGATAAAAACCTAATCTCTTTTAATGATGATGCCTTGGTAAGGGAGAAGGCTTGATGAATTGATGGAAGGAGATTAGGGGATCGGGTGTCACGAACCGACACGTAGAATTAGGGGATCGGGTGTCACGAACTGACACGTAGAATTAGGGGATCGGGTGTCACGAATCAACACATAGATTCAGGGAATTGGGTGTCACGAACCGACATGTAGAATTAGGGGATCGGGTGTCACGAACCGACACGTAGATTTAGGGGATCGGGTGTCACGAACTGACACGTAGATTTAGGGGATCGGAGTGTCACGTACCGACACAAGAGGATTAATGAATATGAGGGAGCGGAGTGTCACGTACCGACACAAGAGAAATAAAGATAATGAATCTTGAAAGATGTAAATATACTCAATCTACTGAACATGATTCCCAAATGAGTATGGTATTGAGGCTTGAGTCCTCATGTGTGAACTTGATGGTAATTGTTAACGATATAGTGCTTGTTGTTGCTACATGTTGAGTATCATAGTTGATTTTATGATATTACTTGATATATATTGATTTCTATTTTGAGTTGGCCGATGATATCTACTCAGTACCCGTGCTTTGTACTGACCCCTACTTTTATTGTTTTCTTCTTGTTTAATTGTGGAGTGCAGCAAACGTGCCATCATCTTCGACTCAACAGTAACTCTAGCAAGTCTTCGTCACATCGGATCTTCAGGGTGAGCTAATGCTTCTAGCTTGGACTGGATCTTCTTCTTCATGTCTTGATGCCTTGAATCTCCGGCATGGACTAGCTTCATATGTATTTTTAGCTTTTAGAAACTCTTAGAATTAGTAGTTTAAAGTAGATGTTCGTGTGATGATGACTTCCAGGTTTTGGGAATAATAGATGTTGAATATTGATAGTTATTGAATTGGTTTTTATTAATGAGTTTAAGTCTTCCGCATTACTTTCTGTTGCTATTACATTGAAATGTTAAGGTTTAGATTGGTTGGTTCGCTCACATAGGAGGGTAAGTGTGGGTGCCAGTAGCAACCCGGATTGGGTCGTGACATAACCTTTTATATAATATTTTAAAAAGCTTACTTAATTTATCTGGATATCTAATCTTTTTTAACCTGTAATTTCTACCATATCGCCTTAGCCAATATTCAGTCATATTTAATCTCCAATATCTAAATAATTATATAAATCATACATATCATAATAAAGTTCATCTTGTATACTTTGTATGGTTAACTCAGTCCAACCTTGAGTTGTTATTTCTATTATCTCATATGTTAATAATTTTTCATAAATTTCTCTTTTTATATAAATGTTCAGGTTTTTTAGTATGTAGAGTAATAATATCTTATAATCAACATGTAACGACCTGTTTAGTCGTTTTGAGCAAAAGACTTCAATTCCGCAAAAACTGGCAGAAGCGACGGACCCCACGACGGACCGTCAAGGGCACGACGGACAGTCAAGGGCACGACGGACCGTCAAGGGCACGACGGACCGTCGCAGGGTCTCGTTTCAAAACACTTAGAAAATCTGAAATTGGGTACTGAAAATCGACTCTCTGAACTTCGTAACGGAGTGGCAGGACGGACCGTCACAGGTGTGACGGACCGTCACAGGCCATTCACCCAAAATCAAGTTTCTGAACTATGCGACGGACAGCAGGACGGACCGTCGCAGGCGCGACGGCCCGTCACAGTTTGCATAATCCCAGTTGGAGTCGGATTTCTGGTTAAGTTTTAAAAGGGCGTTTTTGACTATTCCTGCTATAATTATATATTTCGTGGGTTTATATTAATAACTCAAATTCTTGGGGGTTAAAAGAGGTACCCTTAAGTTAATTCGTGGGGTACTATTGCCATCTTTTATTCTTAATTATATACTAATTAGGATAAAAGAAAGAGGGTTTGAATAAGAAAACAGAGAGAACAAGAAGGGAGAGAGAGAACCGATCGAGAGAAGAGGAAAGCACCAAGCTTTGAGGATTAACTTGCTTGATTTCAATTCTTCGGTGGAGGTAGGTTATGGTTTTCATGCTATTCGTAGTAAATTCTTAATAGTGAATGATATGTGTTAGTAGTATTGTAAACCCTTCTATATGCTTAATTGTATGCTTGCATGAATGATGTGATTATGTAATTATAAATAAATAAGCATGATAAAGCTATTGAATCCCAAATCTTGAAAAGAAACCCTAATCTACTTTGTTAATGATGGTACCTTGGTATAAAAGAAGGCTCGATGAATGAAAGTAGTGAGATTAAGGGATCGGGTGCCACGTTCCGGTACCAGGATAGTATATGAGGATCGGGTGTCATGTTCCCACACCAGGATAGAATATGGATCGGGTGCCACGTTCTGGTACCAGGATAGTATATGAGGATCGGGTGTCACGTTCCGACACCAGGATAGAATATGGATCGGCTGCCACGTTCTGGTACCAGGATAGTATATGAGGATCGGGTGTCACGTTCCGATACCACGATAGAATATGGATCGGGTTCCACGTTCCGGTACCAGGATAGTATATGAGGATCGGGTGTCACGTTCCGACACCAGGATAGAATATGGATCGGGTGCCACGTTCCGGTACAAGGATAGAATGAGGATCGGAGTGTCATGTTCCGACACCAGGATAGTATATTGAAGAGCGGAGTGTCACGTACCGACATGAGGGGAATAAAGATAATGAATCTTGAAATATGTTAATATATTCAATCTAATGAACTTAATTCCCAAATGAGTATGATGAGGAGGTGTGAGTCCTCATTGATGTGCTTGGTGTTGTAACCAAGGGTCATGGTAACTGTAAATGCTGTATGCTAAGGATATTAGTTGATTTTAGGATATTGCTTAATACATACTGTTTTCTATTTTGAGTTGGCCGATGATATCTACTCAGTACCCGTGTTTTGTACTGACCCCTACTTTTATTGTTTTCTTCTTGTTTATTTGTGGAGTGCAGCAAACGTGCCGTCATCTTCGACTCAATAGTAATTCAAGCCAGTCTTACTACATCGGAAATTCAGGGTGAGCTAATGCTTCTAGCTTGGACTGGATCTTCTTCTTCAAGTCTCGATACCTTGAACTTCCGGCATGGACTAGATTTTACTTGTTTTAGCTTTTAGAATACTCTTAGTTAGTAATTGATCATAGATGTTCTTGTGATGATAACTTCCAGATTTTGAGAATAATAATAGTTATTGATTTTATTAATGAGTTTAAGTCTTCCGCATTACTTTATGTTGATATTACATTGAAATGTTAAGGTTTAGATTGGTTGGTTTGCTAACATAGGAAGGTAAGTGTGGGTGCCAATCGCGGCCCGGATTTGGGTCGTGACAAACTTGGTATCAGAGCCTTAGGTTCGTTGGTCTCATCACACAAGAACGAGTCTAGTAGAGTCTTAAGGAACGGTAAGGGGACGCCTTTACTTTTCCTTGAGATGCTATAAGACTTTAGGAAAATTCGATTCTTTCTTTCTTCTTTCGTGCTATTACTTGGGTCCAATTGGTATCTAGGTGATACAAATTGGTATCTGACCATCTTCACTCTATTTCGCAGATGGTTAGAACTAGAGCAACGACTACGCCAGCATCAACACCAACACCGGTCAGACAAGAAACAACTGAGCCAGCCACTGGGGCTGTGGCTCGAGGAAGAACAGCGGCAAGGGGCCGTGGTAGAGGTCGTGGGAGGACGTCCTCTAGGGGAAGAGGACAAGCGCCTAGCCCATCTGATACTAGGGCAGTGACTCCTCCACCGACTGAGGAAGTAATAAGAGAAGGGGAGGGTGGGGAAACTGAACAAGTGTAGAATGAGGGATTGCCACCCCAACCTACCCCAGAGATGATCAATCAGGTTCTGGCTTATCTTAGCGGGTTATCTGATCAGGGCCAGACACCCCAGTGTTTTCTGCACCAGCACCTCAGGCTCCGGAGGTAGAACATGCGGCTACTATGGCTCCCCGCATGGATGTTCCATTTGAAATAGGAATGTTTCCATGTCTGACTACTGGGCCTATAATGACAAATGATCAGCATGAACTTTTCAGTAAGTTCTTAAAATTGAAACCTCCAGTCTTCAAGGGTGCGGAATCTGAGGATGCTTACTTTTCATGAGTCAACAAATCGGGCCATGTAAGAACCCCCTCTAACACCTAAGTAGGAGAACCATTATATCCCATCAGTTAAAACATGGGGGAAATTAAGAAAAATTAGATATAAATGAAATCATATAATTTTTTATAAATGAAAACTTTCTTAAAAAAATTTGGGTTAAGACTTTTAAAGTAATTAACACTTGCAAAGATCTATTATAAATAGGTAAAAGACCTACTAAAAATACAACATGAAATAATAATGAAAATACATGACTCCATTCATGCACAAAAAAAGTAGAAGCTGCTAAAGAATTCTTAGTCTTTAGCTAATAAAGCATCACCAACCTGAATCCAGACAATGTCATATAGGCACAACAAGAGGAATATCAGCACAAAAAACATGTACTGATACGGATCATCTGTAAACCCGACACTCACCGCAATAATCAGAAATCAACTAATAATCATATTCCTTAAAATGACTCACTTTAGAGCCTCAGTTATTACAATAGTACCCCTTACTGTTGATGTACCGTTGTTTCACGGTACTTTTAATGCTTTTTCCATAAGTTTAGTGTGTGTCCAAAATCCTTTTTGTATTGATTTTTATGTAAGTTTCTCCTTATTTGTAGAAATTCTATCCAAAGATGAACGTGGAAGTTTTTGAGCGAGAAATGCAGAAGAGAACACCTATGGAGCTTATGATGGTCTGTCACATTTGTGAAGGTCCGTAGGTGACATCGTAGTGAGGAGAGAATCTGGTGAAGGAAGATGGGAAGTCTGACCTAGTTTGGGATTACGGTAGTACATAACGGACCATTATAGCCACGACGGTCCGTCCTGTTGTTTCGCCGTGATGATCATAGAGAAAACCCAGTACCCAAATTCTAAAAAGTTCAAGTATTATGGAACGGAGACCATCGATGGACCGTCGTGCATAGAACGGTCCGTCATACCTATTCTTTGAGGGTAATGAAGAGAGCAGTAGATGAAGTATGAGTCGACAGAGGCCATGACTGCCCGTCGTGACCACTACGGTATGTCACGAGGTCCATCGACTTAGACGCGTTTGGACAAATTTTCAGTATTAAAATCCTTCTTTAATAAGGTTTTTAGATTATTATAAATAGTTCGAAAAAACTCATTTTTGGGGTTAGACTTTCAGACTTTTAGTTAGACTTTTCAATAATTTTTAGTTCTCTTGTTCAAGTATTGAAGATTTGATTTTAGTAATTGATACACTATTTCTGGAATTGATTGTTAGTGTTTTTGTTGATTAATCAAGTGAATTTCTTGATTTTTTACTTTCTCATTACTTTAAGTGCATGAATTCTTAAATTAAATATATATGAATAGTGTGATTATCACCATGGTAACTAAACTCCATAACTAGGATTGTGGGAACCATGAGTTAATAATAAGGTAAATCTAACTAAAATAGCAATTCTAGAGTAGTGTTTTGCATGTATTGATAATTCCTTCGTTTAGAAGTCTTTTTAACGGATGGCGAACATTAGAACTTGCCTTAATGCTACTTGCCGAACCAAGGAGGTAGATAATAGGAAAAGAATTATCAACATAGATTTAGTGTATACTATCTAATAGGCTAGTGTCAGTTGGTACGAGGTATTAGCTTAGTCAATTATCGAATACAGCGCTTTATATGAGGTAAAGGTAAGGGTTAGTATATAAACACACGTAGCCGGACCAAGGTGCTGACGGAAATTTTCTAGATGCCAGACCAAGGACTTAGAGATACACAACTTATCACTTTTCATGCTGATACGCTCAAACTTACTTCTCAAATAAGAAGCAAAGTAGTCTTATCAAGTAAGGAACCCAAGTAATGAGGTTGGAATTGTTCCCAGGAGGAAAATAGTTCAGACTTAACTTTATTCTATTATTACTATTATTTAGTAAATTATTTTCCTAGAAAACAAAAGATAATAAAGGGGGGGGGTTATATCTAAATTAATGAAAATAATTAACTAAATTAAAGTAAACAACTAACAAATTTTAATCTTGGAGCTTAATGAATTAATAAAAGTAACTAGGGCTTAAGTGTTCCCCACAAGTTCCTAGCTTGATAATCCTAATTATAAAAATTCATTCCTAGTATTTTGCATGTGAAGTGATAAGTTATGTATCTCTAAATCCTTGGTCCGGCATC